TTCAAGTAGTTCATTAAAGATTGATTTAATCTTAAATTTCTACACTGAAAGGGCAGAAGCATTGAAAAAGGCTGTAGGACTAAAATGAGTAGGAATTGAGTTGGTTTTGTTTTGTGGGTTTTCTGTAAGAGGTGTGAAAGTTCTTGAGCTTTCAGAAATTAAACAAGAAGAGGGGACTGGGTTGAAGTAAAAAAGATAGGCAAACTATGGAGAAAAATGAAGCGGGTCAGCGGAGTAGGAGAGAAATTTGAGAGGCTCTTTTTTTCTCCATCTTATCTTTCTGCCTTCCAAAAAAAAAAAAAAGAAAACCTTCAGAAAACTACTGGCAGTTCAGGCCAGTGCAGAGGACTCAGGAACACATGTGGCAGTGCCAAAATCTCTTCTCAGCCTAGCGTGCTACTGCTAGTCTTGGTCAAATGTTCATTCACATTTGCCAGCAGACAAGGAAAGGAAGTTGTGAGACAGAGATACCCCTGAAAGGGATACTGCAGGAAGATCTCCTCACTTTCCAAACCTTCTTTAGTCCAGGTGTCTTAGCCTGAGGAAGAAGTGCAGAAGATTCTCTTTTTCTCTGGAGTATGAGATGTTAGGAGAGATACAGTGCATCCTACCACACCTAGTAACGCTTAGTCCTCCCGGTGGCAATTACTTTACCTTGATAATGTCTACCTGGTTTGTGAAATTTCTTTTGCAGTGTTAATTTAGGGAGGAGTTGAATGAGGGATTAAGTCCTCTGCTTACACAGTAAAACCTAGAGACTGTGGCCTGGTTCCTTAGAGGGTTGTTCCTGTTTTTCGGCTGTGTCTTTGCTATAGTATGTCTCAATGGTGGTATCCTGAAGTGAAAGCACATTGTGAGAGCAACATCCAGGCCGGTTTCTAGTATGTTTATTTTAAAATATCATATTTTTTAAGAAATGCTTTTTTCTTTCCTCTTGCCACTTTGAACATGTCATAAAAGTTCAGATTTGTCTTAATAAAATCCCATTGTGCATATACCCTGATTCAGACTTTGGGGATGATCGTGTCAAATGTCTTCCTTGACACGCATTTGGCAATGAGACTTGATGACTCAGGACTTGAATTATATACTTGTGCAGCTCTTTTGTTTTAGCTTCTCTTCATTTCTTTTCTCTTTACTTTTGCTGTAGATCTGGAGTGTGAGGAAGTGCGTTTGTGACACTGACACTTGTAACGTTGACACATATTCCTGTTAGTGAATGCTCCTATAAATTAACCTTTGCATCATGATGTTGGTAAAATATTCATTATGCTGACAGTCTGTGGGAAATGTATGACTATAGAAATGAGGCAAAGCTCCTAGAGGAAGGTAAAGTCCTGACTCAGTGGTAGGGAGGTGGTTTTTTATGCAGGCGAGATAAAGAAGGACTTCTGCCCACAAGTTTGGTTTTGTTTTTTATTTCTTAGTTATACTTGCTGTTATTTTTTCCTTACAGATCTTGTCCCACTGCAGACGCAAAAAATATTCCCAGGTATCTGTGAAAGCCTGGAGCCTGTTAATCATATGATGTTTTTAATTACACTGGAGTGCCCTTCAGTAACAGATATGCTTGTTACTCTGCAGGTCTGAGGAAGGATCTGCAACTTCTGCTTAAGCCAAGGTGGGGGGAGAAAAAAGTGATTTTAGATGTACTTCATCAGGTCTTTCTGGAAAATTAGGGACAGTTGTGGAATGAGGTGGTTTAATCTTAATACAGTGAAACTGGGAGATTTATAGAAAGATGAACTCTTACTTTGAGTGCATGCTTTATAAATCTTACTATTTTGAAGATTGTCCTTCCTTTTCAGAGCTGTAATGGAGAGTCAGCAAACTTGAATGTTCCATAAAGGAGGAGTCTGCCTCTGGGTTTGTGAAGTAAAACGTACCTGAGAAATACTTGTTAATAACATAGGAGTCTGTGTAATTGAAAATTGATGTTGGTTTAAGAATCGGTCTGTCTTAACTAGTGTGTAGAAGGTAGCTTGGTATGACTTAAGCCAATGAGCAGATACCTATTCAGAAAAGTGTAATATAACTATTTAAGTGATGATAATTCCTTGCTGGGAAGGTGTGGCAGTAGGTTGACCTTGGGAATAATTGCTGCAGTTAAGATTTCTGTAGAATCATAAAATAATTTAGATTAAAAGGGACTTCTGGAGGTCACCTTGTCCAATCCTTTCCTCAAAGCAAGGCCAACGTTTTAGTCAAGTCAGGTTGCTCACGGTCTTGTGCTGTTCAGTTTTGAATATCCCCAAGAATGGAAATCGTACTGTCTGGGCAGCCTTTTTTTTTTTTCGTGCCTAACTGCTATTGCTATGCATATTTTTTTTCTCTGTGGCATACAGTGCAAAACTTGCACATCTGAAAACCTACTCTGGCGCCAAAAATACAAAATGCCACAGAGGTTTTAAGTGTGAGTTTTCCTTGATGGACGCCTAAAAGAAATAGCATGTCATCTTGATTTTTTTCCTGACTGACCACAGGATTGATCATTCACTTCATATTCCACCTGCAAGGTAGTAACTGGTCAAAGCAATTGGACCGTGGCTGTTCCGTGGACTCCTGAGGGTGAGCTGGCCACGGCCAACCCAGGTGAAAACACCTTGCATGGCTAGTCGGAAGCCCTGTGGAAGGACAGTTGTCATTTGCAGTCCCGTTATATGAAGCCATTACTTGTGGAGTTAGAGAAGCTACGTTATGGCATTGGGTTAGGCTTCCTTGAAAGTAATGACATCCATTGCTGCCATCCTTTTTCCTTCCTGTTTCTGTGACTGGGACTGCCTCTGTTGCTTCTGTTCTTGTGACTTCTCGGTTTGCTTGTGTCCATGTCTGTCTGCTTCTGTGCACCTAGAAATGTTTGCAGGTTGGTCTGGTTTGCTCTTTGGTCACTCGCATGCTTGACTTCACTTGAGTCCTGTGCTGTATCTGTAGCCTGTGGGTTACTCTTGATTTCCCCCCCCACCGCCTGATTTCTGGAAACATCTGTATTTTTTCTCTAAGCCTGCTAGTGAAGGAAGCCTACTACTCAGGAATAGTTTCATGCGAAGTTTTGTGGGTTTTGGTTGGTTTGTTTGGGTTTTTTTTTGTTTGTTTGGCTGAGGAAATGCTGTTAGGTCTCAAAGTGAATTATTGTGCATTTTTTTTTTTTTTCTGAGGAAATGCTGTTTCTTCTTTTCTTGATGCTTCAGGTTTTGAATTCTAGAATAATGCCAAAACTTTGTATGGATCACTGTGAGCTTTCTTAACCATTCCTTCTCTTCTTTACTTCTTCTTAAAACAAAAGAAGACTATCCTGAATAGTAAATTAATTGAATGTGCAGATATTTAGATTTTTCAGGTTTCCTCTCTTATGTGAGGAAACTGACCCAAACTGAGTATCTTCAGGCCAGGATATTTTTATAGAGCTGTAAGCACTGTGTCCCAGAAAATGAAATAAAAATATTTGGCATCCTGTAATTGCACATGTGTACTTCTTTGCTGTTGTTGTGGTATATCCTGTAGGAAAGAAGACTATAAAGATGTACACTTTCATGGGGGTCTAGCCAAATGTTTCGTAACATCAAAACATGATTTCTGGCTGGTGGTCTAGATTATAGAGGAAGCAGTGAGCCTTTTGAGCCAAGC